CTTTCTTTGGACCTCAAGCAGAACAAACTACTGATTATAGTCACTTTGAGGCATTGGGTTCAATGTTCCACAGGCTTCACACTCGTTTATTTCACACACTCCTTTTTCGCGTGCAAATACTGAACACTCGCGACAAGAGCCGTGTGAGGGCACAGCCTAAGATTGTGTTCGTTTTTGAAAGGTTGCAGCCGCAACGGTCTGACTTGTCTTCTTGAACCTGATGTATAGGCCAAACAATATCCGGAAGATTGGCAGTTCGCCCATGCTTGCTGGTCAGGTTGGCCGGCAACCCTGCCTCAACCCTGATAGGTTTTACGTGGGTGTGGTTTGTGAAGTAAAAGTTGAGACGTGGAGCATCCATGCCACGCGCGGGCGCTGCGTCGCATGACACCCACCTCCTCGCAACCCTCGCCAAGCCTTCGCAGAAGACATTAGAAGGTGTTCCGCTGAAACATGATCTGCCCCACCAATAGAAAGCATGTAGATGAGCCCTCTTATATAATACTTTAATTTGTGTGAAACGAGACTCTGAAATAGATTGCACATTCCTACAGTATTTTGTTCCCAGCCCTCAATTCCTCCACAATGCTTTTCAAGTCCTCAGGTCTTGATTATGATCACCCATCTTTGATTGTTAGAGACAACTTTGCCTGCACTTCACTGTTCTCAATTGTTTGTTTTCCACTTTCTTCATTCTTCTTCCTCACTTTTGACCTTATCCTTTCCTTTTGGCTTTACTTTATGACTATATAACTATTACTATAAATTAAAAACAAAACACTTATATCCTTTTTGTTTACTTTTCATTCTTTCCATTTCAGACTCAAATCCCCACCGCCAGGTCGCCCTCGGTCCAGAGCCTCAGCGACCAGCGACCAGCAACACCGAACTGCTCGCGCCCCGCCCCAAGGCCACGTGGAAAGCCAAAAGCCAAGCCCAAGGCTCGGTTTCTCTGAAAAGGGCGAAAAGACACGTAAAACCAGTAAGTGAACTGCACTGTTTTGTTTAGTGAAGCCCAAACCGGATCAGTAAACTGTATTGTTATTGTGTTAAAAGGGATTCTGACCGGTTGTTGCAAAGGGCAATTAATTAAGCTCAAGAATCAAGGTGAGCAGCAAGTGGTCAAGGGTATCAAGCAGAGTACGTGGTTGCAACATGTTTGCGTGTTTGCTAGCGTCACAGATCATCACCGCAGTCTATTACCACGTTTTCACAGTTGATTAAAGTCTCCTCGATTGTTTGAGATAAATACGGACAACTGTCCACTAAACACACAATATAGTGGACTATTTTTATAGGTGTTTGGGTTTGAAACTGCTTGCATTTCGTTCATATGATTTCAGATGAAGACCCGTGGCAGGTCGTTTTTCACAGACCAGAGTCGATCCTTGAGAGGCTGGCATCAAGAGACTCATCGTGACGGAGGAGGAGCAACAAAAGCGCCAGAGGCCGACCTCGCTAGTAGCATCCTTGCTCCTAGTAGCGATGCCAGGAGCCCCTAATAGCTTCTTGTTCCTAGTAGCGAGGCCAGGAGCCCCTAGTAGCGTTCTTGTTCCTAGTAGCGATGCCCTTGGCTCCTAGTAGTGTCTTGCTCCTGGTTCGTGTAAGAACTGGGGCGGTCAGGTTAGTGTTGAAAGCACCATGTTTCTTGTTTATTTTCCAAAGCGAAAGATTCCCACGGAGTCTAGTGGTGTTTCAACAAAATTGTACAAACCAATGAGGAATGAGAGTACATCCGCTCAAGTAGCTACGCATAGCTCCACCTAAGTATTGCTACCCCGTTGAGTCTCCAAGAGAAATATTCTTTTTTGTTCGGCGAGAGATTTCTTGTCAGCTTTTGCAAAAGGTGGTTCTTTCTGTGTCGACATGTAAGAATGCCTGCTTAATGCATTTCTACAATATCTTAATTCTGCTATAGGTTGCAGGCCATCGCTATGAGTTTGGAGGCCATTGCTAGTAGGTTGGAGGCCATCGCTAGTAGGCTGAAGGCCATCGCTTCTAGGGACCTGCTAAATTAATTTCTAGAATACCTGCTTGCGCGGGGAAAGAAAGACACCTCGAAGAGGGAAGAAGCAATTTCTTTACGACCAGGAGCAAGAAGCTACTAGGAGCAAAGGGCATCGCTACTAGGGGCTCCTGGCCTTACTACGAGCCAAAACTCACTAGTGCGAGCGCTTCTTCAAGGAAACTCCCCCCCCGCCTGCGTGAGCTGCGTCCATAATATGTGGTAGCTTACTTGTAGGTACTAGCGACTCCCTAGCTTCTACTAACTAACCTACCTCACTTCCACACGGCCTATCTCCCCCCAAAAAAACACATTTGTTTGACCAGATGTTACAAGGCTTAAGGCATGGACGGTCCGTTGCAAGAACGGTTTCAGCAAGAAATAGCACCTTTACTTTTGCGCGCCCCTTCAGGGAAGGAACTTAATCACTCTTTGGTTTAAACAAGTAAGGAAGAATGTATATAAGCACTCTTAAGCACTCTTTAGTAAATAACCGGAACACTTACGCGCTTTTCGAAGCAGAGCACTTGGAAACACAAACCAACCTACTGCGGAGAAGTCTGCAAATTGGAACCGGGTCCTGCCTGCCAGGCGTGCAGACCGTTTCGAAGGTGAAGCGCCTCACTGAGCTGTTCAAAAGGAAGGGAGTTTCTGGTGCAACACAGAACTGTTGCTAGTAGCGTCCTTGTTCCTAGCAGTAATGCCAGGGGCCAGGAGCTACTAGTATTTTCTTGCTCCTAGTAGCGATGCCCTTTGCTCCTAGTAGCGTCCTTGTTACATTTTTTCACGGAACGACACCTTCCACTTTCTACTCCAACTTTCGATGCAAACGCAATGCAGCCCTTGACGAAACAATTGGCAGTTCAAGTAAGTGAAAGGCGGACAAAGTATTTACAGAGGGAAGATGGACAGATGCACATTAGTCAAGAATGCGTTTGGATGCAGGATATTGCAAGTAGTCAGATTTTGTTCGTGTTATGGGCTCCACTCAGTCGTTGAATCCCAAGAATCACTTCTGCTGATATGTAATGACCGATGAACAACAACGTGTAGAGGACTCAATAGAGTCCGAAGGCCCAAGAAGCCCAATGCCAAAATGCTACTAGGAGCAAAGGGCATCGCTACTAGTAGCTCCTGGCCTTACTACTAGGAGCAAGAAGCTACTAGGAACAAAGGGCATCGCTACTAGGAACAAGAAGCTAGTAGAAACAAGTGCCACGCTAGTAGTAACAGGTGCCTTACTAGTAGTAACAAGAAGCTACTAGGGGCTCCTGGCCGTACTACTAGGAGCAAGGACGCTTCCAGGAGCTTCTTGTCCTCAGGTGACCGTGGTGCAAGGCGTCGGCATGACGTCGAAGAGTCGTTGGAGTCTTGAAGACGTCGTTTGCTACGGAGATACCTTTCACTAGGGCCGCTAGGTGGACTTAAGGGTCCGACTTGAAGGGTTTGAAATCACGCAAATCACTAAGAAAGACAAAGTCGAGAAAGAAAAGGAAAAGAAAGCAATCATGTAGAGCAATAAGTAGTTAAGTAGTTGCCACTTTTGGGTGTTGTCAGGCTCGGACGCTGAGAAGAAAGTGCCTTGGAGGTTTATGACAGTGGATGACAAGCTACACTTAACTGTACTAGGTACTAGTTTCAGTGTATCCCTTCTTCTCAAACAGAAGTTCCATTGTGTCAGTAAGAACGCCATACAACAATCCGACTTACATCTGTTCATGAAACTTGTTCACCATGTTCTCATTAAGCCCTTCAAACTTCAATGGAATCAGTGCACCTTGCACACTGAGGGTGCTGCAGAAGGAGAAGCAGCTGATGCGGAAGCGTTGGTAGATAAGGCGGGCAGGCAGTACGGCTGTAATTACGGGTTCTTAAGGTACATGTTGCACGGACATGATGTCTCTTTGTGGATGGCCACTGCCACTTTCTGTGCACCTGTGTTCCTTTTTGTTTTTATATTGTTGTTAGTGTCGGGGTCAAGGGCTTTCACACAATATTTGGCTGCCCAAATCTGTAGGCGAGCTATACTTTGGCTAGACACGACTTCCGAGGAGAGAGTGCAACCTGAAACCTCATGGTCAAACACCGTTGTGTTTTGCTTCCACCAGGGTGTGACTTTGTTTCTGGATGTTTCAAATTTGTGCATGTTCACATGTGGCCATGACGCATCACACTGATACTGTTGTGGAGGGAGCAGTTCCTTTCAGAACTGTTCGAACAAGTTTCTTCATTGTCACCCAGGACTCAAGGTCGCCTTTTCGATGCTAACCAATGTATAGATGACCAGCGTAAACTCAAAAATGAAAGCCATGTAGACCGTGCTTCGTGGGATTTTGTCCAATTTCGCAGTGCTCCAGACCTAATGCATCAGACATGCGAACCGGTTTGAAGCACATGACAAGGTTTCGGGAGGTATTTACAGCACTTTTGGTGTGAAGGGATTGATTTCCAGCCACTCGAAACCTAAACCAGTGGTGCACAAGAAGCTCATTGGCCACTCGCCTGGTAAGTTTGGCCTTTATTTTCCAGTTGGACACCAACATAGCACTCCACTGCATGTTGAGGCTGCAAACACAGATGCTCCTGGCAAAGAAGCAGCTGATGCGGAAGCGTCGGTAGATAAGGCGGGCGGGCGGTACGGCTGTAATTACGGGTTCTTAAGGTACATGTTGCACGGACATG